TATGTTGTTGCCCCCTCTGGCCTTACCTTCTCTATCCATCTCCGGGTACCCCCTGCGACGACATTGGTGAGTTGCCACGTCAGCAGGCCACGCCAGCAGACCACGTCAGCAGGCCACGTCAGCCGACAGAGCAGGAAATACCACGTCAGCAGGCCCCCGGCCTGGTATATGATGTTGCGGTCACAAACAGCCGTCACGGACCAGAGGTCAGGAGAAGCAGACGAGGCCTATCAGGCCCGGATGCTGGCTTGGAGTACCGAAACAAAGAAACGGGCAGATGACGCAGCAGTAGCAGCAAAGAAGAAGCAGAGGATGTCGAGCAGGCACGTCTGCTGGCACTTGAACAACAGCGCCAACATGACGAGGTAGCAGCAAGGGCCGACGATGAAGAAAGGAACCAATGTCGTGAGAAAATATTTAGCGGAGAGCAGACCTTGCTCACAATGGCAGCAGCATGGCGGACCGAGGCCGAGAATGGCAAGTTGGAGGATTGCGAAAACAAGATCGCTCTCCTCCTCTCGCATCTCACAGACCTCCTGGCAACCTGCATTACACAGCAGGAGGATATCCACAGCCTCGACGACTCGCTAACTCAAGTACAAGGCCGCCTTCAGCAGCTGGAGGAGCGATCTGTCGTTGCCCCCGATGCAAGCTCTTCCAATACCTCCGATCGCCTCAAAGTGTTGGAGATGGAATGTCTGCTCCCTCAAGGACGGCGTGCAGTTACAGCAGACCGCAACGCAGCAGTTGCAACAGCGGATCTGTACTACCGCCAATACCTCAAGTTCGGAACCACGCCAGACAGCTCCAAAGTTCAACGGGCAGGAGATCTTCTGCAAATCGACCATGACAGATCCAGTTCCATGGTTCCGCAAGTTCGAGCTCACGCTGCAGCTCCACAATGTCAAAGAACACAAGCACCACGTATACTTGTACTCTCGCTCAGGGGCCGCGTGCCAGGCTTGGTTGGACAACCTCTTGTCCAAGTACAGAGTGGTAGCTAACGACTTGCACACCAAGATCAGTTGGGATGATCTAAAGGCGGCGTGGCACAAGCGGTTCCAAGTTGAGCCGCCTGAGATCAAGGCTATGGACAAGCTTATGGTCTTCGAGCAAGGCACGCTGCCAAGTACCGACTGGATTGTCGAGTACCGACGCTTGACGTCAGTCCCAGGCATCCAGATGGGCTTCAAAGCCATCCGCCACTACTTCATCTCAAGGTCCTGTCCGACATTAAGTAATGCCCTGATGCACGTCGAGGACATCTTGACGACAACGACAGAACTATTTGACAAGGCCGCGCAGATCATCATTACGAACAAGGAGGCGAAGAATCTGCGTTCGTCTGTGGCAGGCCCGAGCAGGGACCAGCACCGGCCAAGAGTGGCCGTGGTTGCGGCAGCAACGCCGTTTGACCAAACCAGCGAGGCTGTGTCTGCCAGTGAAGGGGACAGACTCGCAGCCGCCCGGGAAGGTGGCCGCCCCTGCAGAGGTCGAGGACGAGGCAAGACGAAGACACACACCGCATCTAGCCCCGGGCCCGGCGCAACAGCTCCAGCCCCTTGGTCCCAATACGGCATCTTCGAGCAAGCCTTCAAGGCGTGCACCTGATTCCACTATTGCCTATGGTGCAACGGTGATCTTCATCAGACACTGGTCTGCCCATTGAAAGGCAATGGCAAACAGGGAAACTGAACACCGCCGAGAGTGACTCGACAACACTCTCGACGCCTCCGGAACCGGTTTCTTCGCGAGTAATCGGCCTTCATTCCAAGGCGCACACGGAAGTCGATAGTCCTCTTCTACTTTCTTTCGAGGACTATGGTGCTCGGCTCGTTCCTACGCTGCGTACTCAAGCTCAAGGACAACAAGTGTGTGCGGTTTCTTCTCCGTCCGGCAGCGGCGATATATCGTCTTCAAGTGGTTCTTCACGGGAATCAACGCGCGAGTTCAACATAGAGGTATTGGACCCGCTCACGTCCGAGGACTTTGCATGGCTTCCTCTCCCGACCACGGGCTATCTGTCGGGACCGCAATGCGCAACACTATGCGCTCATCTCCACACTTACTTATCCTTCTATGCACCACCAACTTCGCCGACGGATGACGAAGTCGCGGTGGGGGACATCCTTGCGTATACTACCAAGACGGCCTGCGAGTTTCGCACGCAACGGTACGATGACAACAACGCACCGCTCATGTATGTCCGCATTCAAGTTGGGCAAGCGTCCTGCATCGCTTTGCTGGATAGCGGCGTGTCTCGCAATTTCATGAGCCAATCCTTTATGCAAAGGGCTAGCCTTGGTGCACAAGTTCGGAGGAAGGCAAACCCGACGGCGATCAAGTTGGCGGATGGAAGACGTAGCAACTTCTCGACCGTTACATCGAGGCCGTACCGGTCTATGTCGCACCTCATGCATGCGAACCGGTGACATTCGATATTCTCGACACGGACTTCGACATCATTCTGGGAATGCCTTGGCTTGCACGTGCGGATCACACGGTCAACTTCCACCGGCAGACTCTCAGCGTTCGCGACGCCTTCGACGCGAAAGTGGCGTGCTCTATAGCACCCTTCGATTCAGTGCCAAGTGGTGGCGGCCAAATCATTCAGGGCGACTTGCGGTTACGAGTAGCCCGAGGAGATCGACCTATGTTTCCTACGGACTGTCGTAGCCGACTCTTCACCCACAGTCTTGTCTTCGGACCCCCGGGTGGTGCGGTTGCTGGACGAGTTCGCCGACATCTTCGAGTCACCTACCGGTGTGGTGCCGGATCGGCCGATCTCTCACGAGATCATTCTTGAGGCCGGTGCCGTGCCGCCGAAAGGTTGCATCTATCGGATGAGTGAGGAGGAGCCTGAGGTCCTCCGCGCACAACTCGACGATTTGTTGGCCAAGGGTTGGATCCGCCCTAACAGCTCCCCATATGGAGCACCAGTTCTCTTCGTCCGGAAGAAGAACAAGGATCTACGATTATGTATCGACTGCCGCAAGCTCAACGCGCAAACCGTCAAGAATGCAGGGCCTCTCCCTCGCATCGACGATCTTCTTGAGCGACTGGGCGGCGCAAAGTATTTTTCTAAGTTGGATTTGAAATCGGGATATCATCAAATCTCGATCCGGTCGAACGATCGCTACAAGTCCGCGTTCAAGACGCGGTACGGGCATTTTGAGTGGGTGGTCATGCCTTTTAGCCTCACCAACGCCTCGACGACCTTTCAAGCGGCAATGACCAACGAGTTCCATGCAATGTTGGACCGGTTCGTGCTGGTCTACTTGGACGATATCCTCGTCTATAGCCGATCATTGGAGGATCATCTTGGGCATCTTCGACGAGTGTTGGAGACGCTCCCCCGCGCCAAGTACAAGGCCAACCGCGACAAGTGCGAATTTGTTCGACAAGAGCTGGAATACTTGGGCCATTTTGTCACACCGGAGGGCATCAGTCCGGTATAGGACAAGATTCAAGCCATCCAAGAGTGGCCGGAGCCTCGGAACGTCACGGATGTCCGTTCATTCCTTGGCCTCGCCGGCTACTACCAGCGTTTTATCAAAGGTTACTCGAAGATCGCGGCCCACTTGACCAAGCGTCAATGCGAGGATCGACCGTTTGACTTCGGAGAGGAGGCGCGAGAATCATTCCTTGCTCTCAAAGCCGCGCTATTATCTGCGGAGGTCTTGCGGATATACGACCCACTTTTGCCTACGTGTGTGACTACGGATGAGTCAGGCTCTGGCATTGGTGCAGTCCTCGAGCAACATGATGGTGTGGACTGACACCCGGTCGAGTATTTCAGCAAGAAAGTGCCTGTCGTGCATTCCATCGACGATGCGCGCAAGAAGGAGCTCCTCACCTTCGTCCACGCGCTCAAGCAGTGGCGGCACTTGCTCCTTGGTCGAAGCCAATTTCGATGGGTAACGGACAACAATCCGTTGGTCTTTTACAAGACCCAAGACACCGTCAACAGCACCATCGCTCGATGGATGGCTTTCATCGACCAGTTCGACTTCTTTCCCGATCACATTCCCGGGAAGTCAAACCATTTTGCGGATGCTCTTTCACGGCGTCCGGATCTTTGTACCGCGGTCTACTCAACCTTCGAGATCGACGATGACCTGCGGAACAGCTTCATCCGCGGCTACCAAGCCGACCCCGAGTTTCGCGACAAGTACGTTAATTGCTCCTCTCCTAATCCGGCGCCTTCTCACTACCGGATCCAAGAGGGGTACTTGCTTATCCACACGCGGGGGAAGGACCTTCTTTGCGTACCGAGTGATCCTCACTTCCGTACACGGCTTCTTGGCGAGTTCCACGATGCTCCCCCCACCGGACACTTTGGAGTCAATCGCACGATTGGCCGACTTCGCCAACGATTTTGGTGGCGCGACCTTCTTGGCGACGTCACGCGCTATTGCGAGTCATGCGAGGTTTGTCGACGCTGCGAATCCCGCAACCATCGTCCGTACGGCGAGTTACGACCATTACCGGTCCCGTTAAGGCGAAGGGAAGCGATTGCCATGGACATTACCGACCCGTTCCCCAAGCACAAGATCGGAGTGGATGGGATTCTCACGGTGGTCGACTGACTCACCAAGTTCGCCATGTTCTTGCTTTGTCGCTATCATGCCAAGGCACCGGAGTTGGCCGAGGTTCTGTACGTCGGTTGGATTCGAACCAAGGGTTACCCCAAGGAGATCGTCTGCGACCGCGACACCCGGTTCATGTCCGATTTTTGGTTGGCGCTCATCAAGCGATGCGGCTCATCTCTCAAGCCCAATTCAGCTCGCCACCCTCAGACCGATGGCCAAACGGAGAGGGCGCACCAGACCGCACAGGTTCTCCTTCGCACTCTCATTCGTCCTGACCAGAAGGACTGGGATGAGCGGCTGCCGGATGTCGAGTTGGCCTACAACTCCTCTATCCACCCGGCTATCGGGATGTCGCCCTTTGAGTTCGAGCTCGGTTCGCCGGTCACTTCACCGTTGGACACTATTACTCCACGGACGACCGAGAGCGACGACCATCTTCTTTTCTTGCGTCGGATGCAAGAGCTTCTTGTCAAGGCACGCGATCAGATGGCTAAGACGCAGCAACGCATGAGCCAGCAGGCCAATCACCAGCGTCTTCCTTGCCCATTCCGCGTAGGGGATCTCGTTTGGGTTGCCGCAGCGGAATTCAGCCTTGAACAAGACATCTCTCGCAAGCTCCTCCCGAAATGGATGGGGCATTGGCCGATCGTAGCACCCGCTGGGGACGCACCCGAGGGACCTTCCTTCACGATTCAGGTGCCCGGCCATCTGCCCGTCTACCCAGTCTTTCATTGCTCCAAGTTGGCTCTTTACACGCCAGCGGAACATGACGATTTTCCCGGGAGACGTTCGCAAGACCCACCTTCCATTGACGGTTTTCAGGAGGTCGGCGACATCATCTCTCAGTGACGCTACGGCAACAGGCCAACCGAGTATTTAGTGCACTTTGCATACTGCACACACCGAGCTGACCGTTGGTTGACCCGTGCAGAACTTCAAGCAACAGCTCCAGACGTTCTCGCACGCTACGAACGCAAGATGCAAGGCAAGCCGGTTTCTTCGGCTCCATGCCGCGCCCGCGTCCAGGTTCCACCTTCAGATCGTCGGCTTCGCCCTCGCCCCGGCTTGACTTTAAGGAAGGTGGGGGGGTTACATGCTGCGCCTGCACACGAGGGCCATTTTCCAGGCCTTGCGTCCCTCAGGCTGAAAGCCTGAAATTCAGGGTTAAAGCCTGAAAACCAGGGCTTACAGGCCCCGAGACTGTTCAGCCCGAAAGCCTGAAAACAGGGGCCTACAGTCCCTGTGTCGTTTCAGACTAAAAATGGCAACAACCTTTTTAGCCTGAAACGAAGGGCCATTTTCGGTCGTTCATCAGAACGACCGGCCCTGAAACTCAGGCACCGAACCAGGGTTTCGGGAACAGGCTATTCTTAGCCTGTCACCACGCCAGCCTCAGCAACTGCTGCAGSGCCAGCCCCTGGCACACTTYGGCATTGGCAAGAGCAGCCTCCTCGGCCTGGCTCGCCCTTCAGGCAGTCAGGAGGCAGGCCGAGGTAGTACATAGGGACTTCCCATGCACTTCACGGGTTGGCAGGAGGCAGTTGTAGTCTTCAGGATTCGGCAGCAGCACTCTGGAGGGAGCGCTGCAGGGTAGTAGTAGCGTTAGCTTTTAGTCTTCAGCGCTGGGCGYGGTAGGTAGCTGTAGTCTCCAGCRCTKGGCGCCATAGCYAGGATAGCACTAGAGAGAGAGAGAGATTGGGCGGAGGCCAGAGGTACTTACCTGCAGCGCCGTTGCTCCAGCTTCGTCTTCGAGGTACCTGCAGCACAGCGCCAACATCACAGGTTAGTATCTGGCTCGTAACAGAGAGAGAGTTCTTTTTCTTCCTCTTCTCAGTCCACCATCTCCTTCCCCCCCTCTCATCAACTGACTTCACTGCATCTGCAGACTACGAGAGAAGAGAGAAAGAGCTTGGTGACATCGGATCCAGACTCGACTTTTGGACTTCAGACATTGCAACGAGGGATTATTTGGGACTTGTGACAAAGACTTGGTGTTGACGACATTCCCATCTCTCTCCCTCCTTTCGTCTGATTCCCTCCTCTTCGTCTGTGTATGTCTGGACCTGGCGCTTTCTTCCTGTGTACAGCGCCAGGCTCCTCACACCTGGTGATGGATACGATGTATGTTTGGTCTGCGTTCAAACATTGATTGGGCTAGTCAGTAGCATTCTAGCATTCTGCTTCGCTATTTTTACTATCTGAATGAGGTTAGTCCCGGTCAGGTCAGGCTTTGTATCTAAGTCTTCCCTGCGCTATTTAGCACCATTTTGTATGTCTTAGAATGCACATTGCTTGTTGAGATTCTACTTGCACTGCATTGTCCATTCAGTCCTTTTTATCACGTTGCGGATCCTCGGTTTCTATGTACATCGCCCAACTGGGCATGTAACACCGTAGAGCATAAGCCGGACGAAGGCACAAGCGCCGAGAGAGAGAGAGAGAGAGAGAGAGAGAGAGAGAGAGAGAGAGAATGAAGGGCAAGGATAGGCAGGGTATTCTTTCAGATCTCAAAATCACAAACAAAAAAAAAAAGAAAAAAAAAAAGAAAAGGGAATGGCAAGATGAGCGGCCCAATAGAGTTCTTTCAGATCTGGCCGCTGATTTTGCGGTACTGCGGTTTTGCCCGTAGTTTTACACACTAGGAAGGACGGGGGCGCCTCCATTATATTATAGGCCCGGCCCTTTGTGAAGGAGGTGCGGCGTCCTCCGGAGCAATATGAGAAGATTTGCATGGCCCCTGCGCGCAAAGATGACACGAAAAATCGAGGAGCTGCGCAGTGGGCCTTACAACACGGGCACCGGGAGAGGGGGGTCACATCGCACCCTGAACGTCAAATCATCTTTTGTATAGAAAAAAAAGAGGGGCACCAGCAGAGGGCGGTCACGTCGCACCCTGAACGTCAAATCATCCATTGTAAAAAAAAAAAAAAAAAAAAAACAACAACAACGAAGTAGACTGATCTCAGGAAGCTATGATTGCTTCTGAGAACAAACATCGCCGACAGTCCACATTTCAGGTAGGGGAACGTGTCTGGGTCAAGGCTAGTGAGTTGGGACAGGAGTTTGGTATCTCTAGGAAACTAATGCCTCAGTATTTCGGTCCCTGGGAAGTCCTAGACATTGTGGGGAATGATTTGGATGGTCCCTCGTACGTCATTCGTATCCCTGGTCACCTACGCACTTAACCTGTTTTTCACACCTCCAAGCTTGCACCTTTCGCTGAGACAGCACAGTTCCCATCACGGAGGTCTATGCCGCCCCAACCATGGATGGCCACGTGGACGTTGACGACATCCTGGATCATAGCGATACGCCTGTTCCCAAGCCACCTGGCAGGGGAAGACCTCCTAAGCCTGCAAGGGAATACAGAGTACATTTCAGGCATCATACTGATCCTAAGGAAGATCGATGGATTTCAAGGGAGGAACTTGTCAAGACAGAACCTCAGATCGTGGCAGATTATGAGAAGAAACTGAAGTGGAAGGCACCAGCATGAGCCATCTCAGCGGACTTTCGAAGCTAAGGGGGATGGAATGTGAGGAACAAGCCCTCAAGGGGCCCTATCAGACATCAGATGATCTGGGCTAAGGTCCCCAGCAAGCCGAGTGCCCGCCCTAAGTCAAGGCGGGCCTGAATATTCATCAGAGGCAAAATTCGACATTTCCATATGTGGGTATTCAGGCTCTCGCAGCACGCCAGTTGGTTGGGTAGATGCGTGAGCATCACATTGCTGCGTTATACAGTTGGCCCAGGCCTTGATAGTTGCGCCTGGGCACATACGCACAAAGCAGGGCCGGTACATTGGGAAGCATGCCACTGGCCTTTGCAAAAGCAGTACTGCCGACGCACCTGCCAGGGAACCCTGCACAGATGCAGCACACAGCCCAAGTCCGGAGACTCAGGCCGTGCCCAACTGTAACGGGCCCAGGCCCTCAACTGTAGTCTTGGGCCTGGGCGCAGGGTCTGAGGCCCAACCGGAAGCCTTCTGGAAGCTTCCAGCCAGGCCACACGCAGCATTCAGGAGGCTGCCACTTCGATAAAAGAAGTGAGGCAGCCCAGGCCAGGCATTCTGGCCAGTGCAGGCAATGCGGAAGTGCTACTGCGCTATCGCTTGATGCTGCGCTGCTGCCAAGGGCGCTGACGGGGCGCGTAGTGGTGAAGTGGGGCGCTGCAGGGCAGCGGGGCGCAGGCAGCCATACCCGGGCTGCTGGGCGCCAGGGGGTACAGCGGGCGGTCTGGTGGTCTTTAGGGAAGGAGGTGCTGTGTGGGGTAATCAAGGTCTGATTGAGAGTGATGAGATACGTACCTGGTGCATGAAGAGAGGTCGGCTATGGTGTTGACAGTCATGTACATTGGTCTTCGAGAGTCGAAGTGAGCCTGTTGCGTGAACCAGATGTAGGTAGGATAGTCGGGTAAAGTAGGGTGGGCGCTGAGCGCCAGACGGAGAGGAGCGACTTTGGATACTGCATTGGTGTGGCCCACGGGCTTGGACATTGACTCATGACTTCATTGTATTGCTCTATATGGATGGTTTTCTCGGTGCATTTGTACTCTCTGCTTGGACACGACTACTTGGACATCTGTGTGATTTCGCAACTTGGTTTTCTGTATATCGTTCACCCTCATATTTCTTGCACATTGTAGAGCACAAGCTGATGCCTGTGCCCAGGCCTCCAGGCAGGGGACACCCTCTGAAACCGCATATGCAGTATCGTGTACAATTCAGACATCATACTGATCCTAAAGAAGATCGGTGGTTCACAAGAGAAGAGTTAATGAAGACTGCTCCGCAGATAATCTCAAGTTATGCAAGAAATTTGAAAGGGAAGCAGCCCGCTGCACAAGGACTCCTCAGGGGACTATTGAAGTGAAGGAGGAGGGAGTGCAAGGATTTTACTCCTCGGCATACCTGCGTAAGGCCCCTGCAACGGACGCGTGCCTGCCCTAAGTGAAGGCGGGCCCCTGAATTTTCCATGAGGCCTCAGTTCGTCAATTTTTGCAAATCTTGATGGGCGCCAGATAGTTACCGCCCGCCAGTTAGGTAACATCTACCTTGCTCGTGAGAATCTGAAATATTCGTGAGCCTTCCAGGCTCTTCCAGCAACGTGGTGAAAGCAGGGAGCACTGCACGTTTGTGTGGTTGGCCATGCCTAACCAATTCGGTGCCAAGCCACTGTCTGAACGGGCCAGGGCGCAGACACTTTGGCCGAGAGTGAAAGTACTGGAAACTCGGTCCCACGAGGCAGGCGGCAGGCAGCGAGCCCGCCACTTTCCATCTAGGAAAGGGCCGGGCTACGCACAAGGGATTCGGGCACTTCCTTGTGCAAGCGGCAGTGCTGTTGGACCGTGGCCGAGCGCGGTTGCGAGAAGAGAGGGCGCTACTTTCAGGCAGCACCATATCCCAGCTGGCGTAGCCTGGCTGAGGCTTGGAGAAGGTCAGCGGAGGAGGTGGTGGTCTTTGTGGTAGTGGAGACGCGGGTGAAGAAGATGAGAGAGAGAGAGAGAGAGAGAGAGAGAGAGAGAGAGAGAGAGAGAGAGAGAGAGAGAGAGAGAGAGAGAGAGAGAGAGAGATGTGAGGATGATGACGTGAGGGCACATACCTGGTCTTGGCGATGGTCTGCATAGACGACATCTGCATGTACTTCGGTGACTGCTGCTGATGTCAACTGGTTGCATTGTCAATTCGTAGGCTGGTTGAGTAGCTGTGTGATTGCAGTCTGGGCACTGAGCGCCAAGTAGGAGGAAGGGCTCTGGATACATAAGTTGGTGGTGGCGAGAGTATGCTTTCATTGACATTTGGATTCATTGCTTTGGTTCTCCTCTGGTGGACTATCAGTCCATTTCTGCTTTCTGCACAGCGTTCGACTATCTGGCTCTCGCTGTGATTTTGCAATCTGGAATTCTGTCCTGTCGCTATTGCTCATTTTCCTTGCAGATATGACGATAGCATATAAATGCTGGACAGATGGGTTCACATGTTAGTTACGGGCTATACAACCCTACTAGTGTCACATGTCTTTGTTGGAGCATGTCAGGTAGAGTCCATTTTATTCTTACTCTTTTTCCTTTTCCTCCTTTGTCGTTTTGCGCTTGAATTGTGTTGTGCTGCCTGGTGAGGTTCTCCCCTGGTGGAATATCAGTGCATTTCTGCTTTCTGGACAGCATTCGACTATCTGGCTCTCGATGTGATTTTGCAATCTGGAATTCTGTCCTTTTGCTATTGCTCATTTTCCTTGTAGACATGACGATGCATATAAATGCTGGACAGACGGGTACACATGTTAGTTACGGGCTATACAATCCTACTAGTGTCACAAGTCTTTTTTGGAGCATGTCGGGTAGAGTCCATTGTATTCTTAGTATTTCTTACTCTTTTTCCTTTTCCTCTTTTGTCGTTTTGTGCTTGAATTGTGTTGCGCTGCCTGGTGAACCGTAGGCAGAAAGGAAGAAAAGGACAAGAAACAGGAATTTGTGACGGACTGTTTCATCGGAGTTTCTTTCTGAGCTGAGTTGAGAGTTTGGTGAAGTGTGCACCAAGCGAAGTGGCAGAGCGCAATGGCGCAAATCCCCAGCCTTGACAATGCTGCAATTAATTTGAACTCAATCAGGTAGTGATCTTGTCTTTGGTTCCTCCCCCCCCGGAAAGCTACAGGTTATTTCTCTGGTGTCCTTTGTTTGTCTCTCCTCGTGGAAACCAAAGGCAGCAAAATCTCCATGTGTATGTATGTATATGTCTATACAGGTGTCCCCTTTACTCTGTTGTCTCGTCCTTACAGTGGGCAAGTGTAGGTGGGTGTGTGGGTGGTTTGCGCTCAACCACACAAGTGTGGCAGACCTTGCACCTGAGAGGCACAGTGGAAAGGGAAAGCTGAAAGAATAAAGGAAAGAGAAACCGTGAGAAAATCAAAACGGAAGGGAAGAAAAACTACACAGAAAAGGTGAAAAGAACGGTTTCGTGCTGGCCGGTCCTCTCGGAATAAATCACAGTTTCCCAGTGGCACTGTACACTAAGTGTTCGACTTTGTAATTTGTTGTCTTGTTTTGAGCCTCGCGGGACTTGATCCCGTGACCTGTAACCTGTGTGTTTTGTTTGTGAGTGTTGAGCCCTATGGGACTTGATCCCTGAGTCTGTCACTAGTAGTCTCTGTCTGGTAGTCCTAGGCCATTCGGCCTTTTCCTTTTGCCTTGTCATAGGTCTAGGTCCCCTTTTCCCCTGTTTCCATCTAGATACAGATGAGTCTTGGGTTGTTGCCTTTGGATTCCGTCGTAGGTCTAGGCACAGGGTAGAAGTAAGGGGCAGGAAATTGGGTTCGGGTCTTTTCACGTTTTCATTGGCTGGGGGAAACTCTGCCCGTCCGTTGTTGGAGCGCTGCTGCTCTATTTTGGGCAAGGTCATCTTCTTCGTCGAAGCCCAGCCATAGCTGGGGTTGGGAATTGAAGTTGAAGATCGCACTGCTGCTATTTCGCAGCTCTGCATGAGAGCTTCCACAGCACTGTGTTGTTGGGTTTGGGTGCTGCCATCTTCCACAGCCATATCTGCTGTTCCTCCTCTCGAGGAACTTTGTCTTCTTCGAAGTGCTGGATCGGTTGTCTCCTTCTTCATCAGGACTTCCAGCGCTGCACTTCCGTGCGGGTGCTGAGCTGGCGCTGTTATCATTAGGGTTGCTGGTTCAGATTGGCACGTTGTGACAGCTGTGGGGTTACTGCTGCTACGGCAGCCATAGCCAGGGGTATGCGCTGGTGAGGAGGAAGAAGAAGACTCCTGCATACTTCGTTGAGCACTTGTTTTTGGTTGTTCGGGGTTGTTGTAAACACTGTTGTGATTCTTGGAACAAGTACTCTGGATTGATTGGAGGAGGACGAGGGATTGCAGAATTGAAATTCGTTTTTCAATTCTCTGTGTATTTTGAGCTTCTGCTGTGCATATCTTCTCTCCGGTTTTGTGTGAATTTGCCTCCTTTGAGTCTACTCTGCAATTGCATGCGTGGATGGGAACGTGTGAATTCGTTGTGGATTGAAGTTCAATCGGGTACATAACATGTTTGGTTGACAAAGACATGAACATGTTGTCACAGAATTGTCGTTTCCATTTGTGTACTCTCTGTGCTTCCTTCCCTTGCTTTGACGTATGCTCTCAGTCAATAGTTGTGTGACAAGCTATGTACCTCATGTATCTGTCACACCCCTCCATCTCTTGTCCATCCTCCCTTTCTGCGTACAGTTCACTGAGCAGTTCTCAATGAAGATATATGTGTATCTATGTATGAATACATTGAATAGAGAGGTAGTATGCACATATGCTGTAGATTCTAATAATATGAACCCTTGAAGGGAAGATCGTACCTCTGGTGATGGTAGGTGTGTTTTGTTGGGGGGGGAACACCCGGAAAGCTCAGATCCGGAATGGTGCACAAATGTAGGGAATTGAGGTATTTCCTCTGCCCTCTGGCTTTTTTTTTTTTTTTTTCTGCGCTGTGCTGTGCTGATGCCATGTTGATGACTGCTGTGCCTCTCTCCTTTGGAATTTTTTGTTTCATCGCCTGTGCACCTAGGGATCATGCGCGCAAGGAGCTAATTGATGCACTTGACACGGTAAGTGGCAAAGGGGTTGCAATTGATTGCCAAGACCTCTTGTGGCTTACATATCAACTTACTGGACCCATATGGGCGGTGCATTTCTCTTTACCTGATGGATTGCCTATGTGTCCACACTCTCTCTCCCCCCACATTTGTATTCGATCCATGCAGCATTGACTGGAGGGGATTGAGTGTGCTGTCACTGAGGGATGTGATTTGCTAGGTGTAGTACATAAGGATTTTTTTTTAATTTTATTTTTTATTTTTAACACAAGGCCCCTTTGGAGGGGGCAACAGTCCGGTTACTTGTCACCTGCAAGCATGTTTGTACATCCAAAGAAGGGGGAAGATCAGATCAGAAAAAGGGAACAGCGTAGCCCTTGTGGCATTGATCGTCTACCAAGGGGTGACCTGCGAAAGGGGGCCCACCCCCCCAAACCATGGTCTTTCTCCGGGGGCCCCTGCTGGCCAGGAGGCTTACTAGCAGCACCCAGACACGCAGCAGGGTGGCCCTCAGAGGGACGGGGCACAGGGAGGAGCCAGCTTGATCTACCTTTGTCCAGCTGTCATTTTATCTATCTTGACCTGTTTGGGCTGCCTTGTCAGCACACAACACCTCTCTTGTCCCACCGTGCCTTTCTCTTAGCTAGCCCCATGTCACTTACTATGTCTATGCGCCTTGCTCCCTAAGCTTGTGTCAACAATACAATGTATCCTCCACATCAGTCACCCTCCTACAGTGGCGGTTATGATCGTCGCAGCGCCTTCTACCCCACAGTGTCTTTACTGATCCTATACTTTTTTTAGTAATTTTTAATGTGTTTTTGATGTATTGTAGTCTGTTCACCCATCCCCCCCTCCCCCCTCCTCCCTATCCATCCTACCCCTCCCCTCGTCCTTTGGCCCTTCACCCATCCCCCCCACCCTCCTTCCTACCCCTCCCCTCGTCCTTTGGCCCTACTCCCCACTCTCTAGTTTCCTTCCCCTAATATTGTACAATCAGTTCCCTATTCGGATTCTTCCTCAGTATCTGACCGGGGGCCCTTGGCGTAGAAGCAGCGGACCGAACGACATGCAGCCCGTCTGGGGGTCTCAGGCGAACAGCTGCAGGTATGAACTCCATCTGGCCCAGAACCGTTCTTCCTTCCCTTCTCCTGTGTTTCTGCTTCAATGCCGATCGGCCAGGAGAGCCACCCGAATATTTTCCAGCACCCTGTCCCAGTAAACCTGCAGCGGGGAAGAGGTACCCTGTCTACAGCGTTCGTTCCTCAATGTCCACAAGGCCCACAACACTGCCGCCCTCACAGTTTCAGCTGCCATTAGATCCTCCGGTTTAGCCCTGTCCACTTTCATCAGTGCCCTCAGTAGGATAGCCACATCTTCCTCCTTCGTGACCTCAAGCGGGGTGTTATCCGCTTGCTCTTGTGCCCACCACTCCCAAAAGGCCAGCACTATTGGGCATCGTACAAACAGGTGGAGCACTGTTTCCACTTGTGCACAGCTTGCTGCACATATCTGGTCCTTGTGTCGGCTCTTAGTTGCCAACCAATGTGCCATGGGGATCGCTAGATGGTACAGCTGCCATAGCAGGCCTGCCTGTTTCTGATCTGGCAGGGCTACCGGAAGTGCACATTGCTCATTCCACCTTCGTTGCGTCCATCTGCCAAAATATACGTCAGGGACCCAGTTCCTCTTGGCCCATTGAGTCCTCAGCTCCTCACAGATGTTCACCGGCACAAATAAAGAGTTGTAAATATTCTTGGTAGTAAGATTCTGGAGTGGCACTTCTGTCCTTTGCATTCTTTGTCTCAGCCATTCTCATCCTCTGGGATCCCATATCAAGTCCCGCCGCCTGGACGCATTACAGAAGGGTAGGTATTGTCCCGCCCCCTGCCCCTTCCCTCCCTCGCATATAGCAACCGTTTCGATTGCACTCCTGTCCATATTTTTCTGGTGGTTCCCTTCCTCCCCTACATCTTCCTGCAAGGTTTCCCCCAGACCTTCATACCTTGTGTTCACACACCAACTGGTGACCTGTAGCCTTCCGTCTACCAACACCTGCTCCACCTTATATATTCTCTCTGGTTTAGTGTCACCCCGCATCCTCACCCATTCCCCCGGGGTGATCACATCCTTTCTCAGCAGGTCAATCCATCGGGAAGGGATGGCCTCCCAGAGTTCCCCCACGCTCTGCCTCCTCCTCATCCTACCCTGCAGGGATACCAACACCTCGTTATCCGGGTGCCAGTCCTTTCAATCCTCATCCCATAGGTGACCCACCTTGTGGATGCCCTGCTTCGCCCACTTCCATCGATAAGCTCCCCGCGGGCTGTGCCAGGGCAAAGGCTCACCGCTGATGTCACAAATGAACCTATCGTCAAATAACAGCTGGTTGAGCACTGCGTCAGCGTTTTCAGGTAGGCGCCTCCTCACATGCACTTTCTTCCACAGTGCCACCGTTGTTGACCACACCGTGTCCCTGCGGACATGGTGGATCGCCTTATTGTCCAATAAGCACAAATCCACAATGTCCTCGGGCACTTGCAATCCATAGGTAAGGTGGGCCCGAGCGACCCCTTGCCATGCAGCCCCCATCGTTTGTAGCAGGTGCGAAAGCAGTTTCCGTAGTTGCAGGGCAAGAATCTGCTTTCGCGGGTCAAGGAGGCCCAGACCCCCAAACCGTGTCGGCTGGATGAGCTTGGTCCATGCCACTCTGCATATGGAATCATCCGCTTTTGCATCGTTGGTCCACTAATGCGCATGATATATCTGAAGGTACGCCTACCTGAAACGGTTTTCACCTTTACAGTAGCAGATGCAGATCCGAGGGCTCGATCCCTGTACCTCACCCAAACCCGTGTACAGTATCAGTTGACCCGTGTCGGTTTGAACCCACGACCTGCGTTCTGAAAGATGTGTTTTTAGCTGTTGTATGTAGGGCGGTCGTCGGGTCTTGAGCCGTAGGTCTGTGGTTTAGGAGTCATAGCAGTGGTCCAGGTCGTAGCTGCTACAGTGTCGAAGAGTCAAGGTCGTAGCTGCTACAGTATCGAAGGGTCAAGTCTACGGCCTTCCGGAAGATCCGGAAGTGGCCTTTCGTGTGTCCTAGAGTCTGTCCGCGTCTGAGTCAGCAGTGGGCAGTCCTAGCACAGTCAGCAAAGGGCAGTCCTAAGTCCTACTATCCTAGTTAGCCGTACCAGTCCCAGACACACTTTGTCAAGTCAGCAAGTACCATGTGGGACTGTGTGCACCCCGTGCCCGGTGGAAAGGGCCAGACAGCGACGGTCCGAAGTATAAACAAAGAGGCAGTGTTCAGTCATTCATTCATTCTGCCTGTGAACCGTGCAGAAGCGCTGTTGGAGAGTCTTCTGTATGAAGGTCTACAGGTGCCCGAAGAGGAAGTGGGCTAAGAGGAGGAAGACGCGGCCATAGCTGCTTGCAGTTAGTAGGTGTAGAAGAAGGCAACCATAGCTGCCATAGGTTAGTGGTATAGGTGTTAGCGTGTGTGTGCGTGTGTTGTGTACTTGTGTGCAGGACATCCAGAGAGATCCAGGGTGTGTGTGGGAATGAGTTGTTGGGAGTACAGCGATCGGCCATAGCAAGTCGAGCCAAGTTTGAATCTGAATTGTGTTCTTGCCTTCGTTATCTCTGAGCTTTGTGTGGGCGCAAGTCGCCAGCTTGATCGTCATCCGTTTGCATGCATGTTGAGTATTGAGAAGACAAGTCTGATTGCATTGGTACCGGAGCTGGTTTCCACTGTCCCGTTGGTCGCCGCTGCTGCGACCGTTGTCATTGTCATCGTTGTCGCCTACGAAGGAAGGTGTTAGGCGCCACGTCATCGCCGTCGTTGCCAGGCTGGAGGAGAGAGAGTGGGGCACCCTGTGCTCGTGCCTGCCCTGCCCGCCATTGCCGCACGCTAGTTAGCTATTGTGCACGCTCTCACAAATAGGATCGTGTGCTCGATTTTGCGCGGCTTGCTGCACACAGCCCGTCATCCCGCCCGCTCGCGTTTGCGCACGCTTGTGTTATCGCGTGCTGCTCGTTACCGCGCACGGCCCCCTACTAGCTGCACGCCGTCGCTGCTGCTGCCTTGCGTGCGTATGCCTGTCGCGCGCCCCGGTAGAAGTTTGTGCGCCGCTGCTGCCAGATCGTGTGCCGGTCGTCCGCGCTGCCCCGTTGCTGTCACGCGTCATCGCCATGCACCCACTGTTGAAGACCGTACCGAGCCACTAAAGAAGAAGGCCGCGAGCTAGACATCCGTGTCGTTGTGGGGAAAGAAGGCCGCCGGGGAGACGTCCGCTGCACCAAGTCAGAGAGTAGCGACCATGGCCAGGACCTGCAAGGAAGAAATGACGACGAAGAAGAAGAAGAAGAGAGAGAGAGAGAGAGAGAGAGAGAGAGAGAGAGAGAGAGAGAGAGAGAGAGAGAGAGAGAGA